GGCTTAGGCTTCTTTATTTGTTAAATATAATATTGATAATTAAAACTCATTACAAGTTAAATATCTACATACGTGACTCGTCAACTCACGTGCACTGCAGGTAAAATTCCTTGCGGTCATGTGTTTGGGTGGAGTATTTACAATTTGTGAACATTTTCTGTGTCGCAAACGATATACTGCCTTGAGTAGTGCAAAAGTCACAATAAAAAGCATCATAACTGCCAACAAACTCAAATTCATCCTTTGGACTATTGTTTTTTCCTCATTTATTACCTTTGCTTCATTTAATTCTATTCTAATTATTCAATATCTTCCTTGTGCCCCGAACCCTGTGCACTAACATCAATAACAGTTTTGTGCCGTTGGGTCGCAAATATCTCGGTTGTTCCAGCAGTTTGGTTATTAGGGAAGCAGCGCAAAAACTGAACGGTGAAGGGAAAAAATCGCCGAACTTTTGGAATCGCTAATAAGCGACAAAGAGCTACTAAAAGGATCTTTTTTAAATGGAAAATCATCACTTTTAATTCAGATTGGATATTCAACCTGGCGGATAGATAAAAAAACGTCGCCAACAATCAGGTGGAGTATTGTTTCAAGATCTAACTTGTTAGAAAAAAAGCGAAAAGGAAAAAACAACGCAGAGATGATCATTTTTACAAAGATTGTTATCCGAAAATGCTTTGGGCATTTACTCAAACTGGGATAATTCTTCATTAAGTTTCTAGCAACTGGATTAGGTAGCATAACATAGCTGAGCCTCTCAAAAAAGGAAGGTGTCTGAATTAAACACTTTCATCGTTACGGTACAATCAAAAATCGGAGACAAAACATTTTAAAATTCTTTATGGAGTGTCCGTGCTAGGAGCAAGAGCACAGATAACTAAACTGGAGTAAAGCTGGATATAGAACCTATTCATAATACTTACGAAAGAATTTTTAATTGGCAGCCATTTATGAAAAGAGCCTATAATGCTCTTCAAACAAACTAAAATTTGGCAGACTGTCAAACAAAATACGGTCTGGCATGATGAAGATTA